TTAATCATGTAAATAAGATGGATGACCTATTTCTGAAGATACCCTAGAAGTGCCTTAGAAAGATTTTGTGGAAGACTATGAAGCATGAAAGGGAGCGGGTAGAGAGGGTTTGGTAAACTGGTTCAGTGGTACAAGCGGAATTTCAACGCTCAGTAATATTTTAAGTATCTGAAACTACGTTGACAAAATGTTCAGATACTCAATCACTTCTAGCTCTAAGTTACAATAGTTCACCGATATTCAAACTTAGATTAATGAAAAGAAAAGGGTGTAAGTGGTCATCCTGCAAATGTTAATGAAATATTACAGGTGTGTCTAAAAAAATGGTGACAGTCAAGACAAATCAAATCATTAATAATAATATCATCTTGGCACTATTAACATTTGGGCTTCTCAATTTTAGCACAACTAACATTTTGGGCTGGATAATTTTTTTTTAACATTGATACAATACATTTTAATATATAATTCACATTCATATTTCCACATTTGCCACCAAAATATTCTTTATAGCTTTTGGGGGGAGAGATTCAGAATCCAACCAAAGATACATTGTCTCCACTTGTCACACCTCTTTAGTCTCCCTTCATGTAGAACAGCTCCTTTGCCCTTTTTAAAAAATTGTTGTCAATGACATATACATTTTCTAGAAATCAGACTTATTGAGGTATAATGTACGTGCAATAAAAATCACCAATTTTATGTGTACAATTTAATGAGTTTTGACAAATGTACAGTTTTGAAACCACCATTTCAGTAATGATGTTAACATTTTCATTATTTCAAAAAGCTTCCCTGTGTCCCTTTGCAATCAATTCCCTCAAGTATGTTTTTGACATTCCCTCTTTTTAGAAGCACTTTATTTTGTAGGCTTTCGTGATACCATGGCTTGTCTAGTTTCCCTCCTGTATCTCCTTCTTGGTCAGCTTGGCTAGTTTCTCCTTCTCTGAGGACAGGAATCTTATTTGTTATGTTTGCCACTTACGACCACATCCCCAGCACCTAAAACAGTGTCTGGCTCAGGAAACACTGCAAGACGTTCATCTCTATTAATTTATGTAATGCTCAGCTGCCAGCTAAGTATTATCTTCATTTTATAGATGAAGACGTTAAAGCTCAAGGAAGTAATTTGTACCACTTATACAACTGCTACATAACAGAGAGCCAGGATTTAAATACACTATATAAAATACATTTTGATTATTATATCGTTAATTAAATATTTCACATTATTAAATATTTCATCTATGTCACATTAAAGACAAATATGCAAATATTTTAAATATCTGGACTCCAGAAGTTAAGATAGATTTTTATACCACTTTGTCCCTGTGACATAAAAGTTAAACACATCTACTGAGAGAACTATAATTCAATGTGATATAATGTTTTGGATTTGACAGGCACATGTTTGTTTGGGCTGGATAATTCTTAATCACGAGGAAATGTCCTGTGCATTGCAAGATGCTTAGCCACATTCCTGGCTTCTATCCACTAATGCCAGTAGTACTCTTAGGTACGACAACCAAAAATGTCTCTAGTCATTGCTAAATGTCCCTCAGGTGATAAAATCACCCTTCACTAAGAACCTCTTATCTAAACCGTTGAACTGATGGATTTTACAATTCCCTCATCCCCAAATCTCTCTGTGACTATAACTTCATTAAATTAATATGATCAATACAAAGACAATTTCAATACCTAGCTTGGGCAGGAGGAAGACATAGAACAAGAAAACAGTAGTTTAATAAAAAAGAATGAAACATTACTACATGCTACAACATGGATGAACCTTGAAATCATTATGCTAAATGAAAGAAGCCAGTAACAAAAGACCACATACTGTACAATTGCACTTTTATGAAATGTCTACAATAAGCAAGTCTATAGAGACAGAAAATAGATTAGCAGATGCCTAAGGCTGGGGTGGTGGTGGTGGTGATGAGTGTGTATGCAGGGTTCGGGGAAATGGGGAGTGACTGCTAACAGATACAGGGTTTCTTTTTGGGGTGATAAAAATGTTCCAAAATTGTGTACATGGTTGTATAACTCTGTATATATACTAAAAACCACTGAATAGGACACTTTCAATGGGCTATACAGTATGTGAATTATATCTGAATAAAGCTGTTAAAAAAAAGCAATAGTAGACAACACAGAATTAGGTTGCACTGACAAATGATTTAAGATTCTGATAAAGAAATCCCCTTGCCTTTTATGTCTTCTTTCCCAAGGAGTCTCACAAAATTTTCAAGAAAAACTTGCATCTCCCTAAAGATAGTGTGAAACCAAATATCTAACAACATTCCAATAAGGGCAAGATTGATGAAGACTGTCAAAATGAGTCACTGCATCCCTTTATCTAGTCTTTTGTTTAATGCATCTAGAAATACTGACACAAAATAAGAATAAAAGACAAAACAGATATAACACAGAACCTAACTCACTCAAATCAAAGAGAGGAAAATGAGAGAAGGAATACTGGAAAAAAAAATTTTTAAGTTTAAAAAAAACCTAGCACAGACTTTTATTTCTGGCAATAAGGAATACTAAATATTAGAAAGAAAGGAAGGAAGGAGTTCAAAAATGCTGGATAACTTTTTAAAAATCTTTTAAAATTTATTGACTTAGCTCAAAAGAAAATAAAAAGGTAACTGTCAAAAGATAAAACAAAATTAAAAACTGAACCCTGCAAATAAGACACAGAAGAAGCAGTTCTTCTTGGCCTTTGCTTGAGATTGAGGAGGGCTGTTTCCCTAAGAATCTGCGATAATGTGGTCCCAGTTAAAAAATACATATGTAAACACATAAATACATAATTTACAAACACACAAATGTAGAAAAAGAGATCCAGAAGTACATATATTCAGGTGCTAATAATGGTAATCTCCAGGCCCTGAAATTATGTTTGTATTTTCTCATTTTTTCTAGTTTTCTATATACAGCATAAACGTATGTTTCTACAATAATATAAAGCTGCTTAAAATAAATTAAATGAAAAGTGTTTCAGGCTTGGCCACACAAAAGGAAACAAATCCTCTCTGAAGCAATGCATCCTTGGCTCAGACCCAGAAGTATTTTCCCACAGATAAATTTCCCCCCACAAAAAGAGCTCACAATTCACACACACACACACACACACACACACACACACACTGCCACAACAGCTACCACCACGAGAAACAGCAAGCAGAAAACAAAGGGCAGATTCAGATCCCCATAGATTTGATTTCAGATTTTGTAATTATCCAACATAAAATAAAAAATAAACATTTAAAAAATTTCTGAAGAGATAAAGGAAGGAAAAAATTTAAAAAGAATGATTAATAAACAAAATGAAAAGGCAGATGAAAAAGAACCAAACAGAACTTCTACAAATGAAAGCTATGACTACTGAGAGGTAAAATTTAATCAGTGGGTTAAACAGAAGATATGAGGGACAAATTATCAAACTGCAGGGATAGTCCTGAAAAAAAATACTCAGGATGTAGCACAAGACTGTAAACTGTAATGTAAAAGAAAGTTTAATAAGCATGGAGGATAGAGTAGGAAAGTCTAATATAAACATAATAAAAATATCTGAGGAATATCAGATTAATAGAAAAGCAGCAATATTAGAAGAGACAGTAGAAGCAGCCAGAAGAGAGAAAAAGACAGTTTAACCTAAGAACAAATATTTGACTGATAGCTGGATTCTCCAAAACAAAAAGGACTCCAGAGAGAGAAGGTAAAAATCTGCAAAACACTGAGAGAAAAGTAATTGTTAACCTAAAACTACATACCCAATAAAATTACCTTTCAAGAACAAGGGTGAAATAAAGGCATTTTCAGACAGACATGGATAAACTTTACTATCAACAAACGTTTTCTAAACAAACAATCAAAAGATGACTTCGGTAAGAAAATAATACCAAAGGCAGGTCTGAGATACAAAAGAAAACCATGAGGAGGAAAAAAAGGAAAACATGTAGCTTGATCTAAAAGAACACTGATTTGATTTATTTAACAGTACGTTCAATATTTAATTTATGGGGTTTAAAAACAGAACTAAAATACAAAATAAGAACAACTTAAGGGCTTCCCTGGTGGCGCAGTGGTTGAGAGTCCGCCTGCCGATGCAGGGGACACGGGTTCATGCCCCGGTCCGGGAAGATCCCACATGCCGCGGAGCGGCTGGGCCCGTGAGCCATGGCCACTGAGCCTGCACGTCTGGAGCCTGTGCTCCACAGTGGGAGAGGCCACAACAGTGAGAGGCCCACGTACCGCAAAAAAAAAAAGAATCCACCTGCCAATGCAGGTGACACAGGTTCAAGCCCTAGTCTGGGAATATCCCACACGCCACAGACAACTAAGCCCGTGGGCCACAATTACTGAGCCCGTGCGCCAAAACTACTGAATCCTGCACGCCCTAGAGCCCGCATGCCACAACTACTGAGCCCGCATGCCACAACTACTGAAGCCCACACGCCTAGAGCCCGTACTCTGCAACAACAGAAGCCACTGCAATGGAAGCCCGTACAACACAATGAAGAGATGCCCCCGCTCCTTGCAACTAGAAAAAGCCTGCGCACAGCAACAAAGACCCAACACAGCCAAAATTAAAATATAATAAAATTTTTTAAAAAATGCTCATGTTCAAACTCTGAAATATGCATCCAATTTAAGTTAAAAAAAGGAATAAAAAGTAGATTGTTCAAAGGCAAAATTCTAGTAGGCTAACAAAGTGTTGCACTATATAAATTCTCATGAAATTTAAAAAATTTTAAATTCATAAAATACAAAAATTATCTGTAAGTTAGATAATTATGAAGTGTATGCTTGCATCTTTAACATTGCATAAGAAATAAACTGTGTTATTACTACTCAACCTCCAGCAAACAGACCAGTATCTGATATATAATAAGCATTTAGTATATGCTAGGTCATCGATACTAAACAACACAAAAATGTGAATATGCAAGGAGTTATTAAAATACTAGATTAAAAAAAGAACCACTTACCTGGTAATAAAATTTTATCTGTCTCACCAAAATGGATAGATTATGAATTCTAAGTGAGGCATCATTGTTGACTTTTTTATTTACTCTCTGACTCTCCGACTTAGGATTACTGTAAGAAATAAAAAAAGAAATACTTTAAAAGTTATATTGAAATATACCTATCAACTTATAGATGACTACAAATAATCATATAATACATTTTTTCTTTAAACAAACTGTGTATTCATCTTCATTAACAGATGATCTAAAAGGACATATGATTACTCTGACATGTATTCTGTGCTTTTAAATGATATAAATGCATCTGATATTTCAAAGACAGTGGCAAAATGTAAGTCAGATGTTGCCCTTCATTCTCATTTTGTCTCTCCACCTTCCTGCAATGAATAACATTTTATTCCTTTTGAGTATATATATTTCCACAACCCAAAATAAATCTATTTAAATCAAGAATATAAAATATAGGCTGATAACTAATAAATGTTGTATCTTCTCACTGGAAAATGGAAACTATATTTGAGTGGGCAATGTCCCTGAGAAATTAAAGAGTGGAGTGATGACACAAGAGAACACGCTTATCTTGGGTAAACTTCGTAGATTCAATAAAAGCAAAGGGGGGCTTCCCTGGTGGCACAGTGGTTGGGAGTCCGCCTGCCGATGCAGGGGACGCAGGTTCATACCCCGGTCCGGGAGGAGCCCACATGCCGCAGAGCGGCTAGGCCCGTGAGCCATGGCCGCTGAGCCTGGGCGTCTGGAGCCTGTGCTCTGCAATGGGAGAGGCCACAACAGTGAGAGGCCCGCCTACCACAAAAAAAAAAAAAAAAAAAAAAAAGAG